TGGTTTCTACTGGTTTTCACTTGATATTTTTAGTAGCATTTCTTATGGGGAATTTTTTCTCAAAGGTTGCTCATCGCCTTTCTAAGGAAGCAAAACCAGTTGCCATATACTCTTCTGATCTGAAGCGAGCAGCAGAGACTGCGCAAACAATCGCAAGAATTTGCAATGTGCCAAATGTATGTCCATTCTACTCATCTCCTCTTATGTTGTGTGGATATTTCAGCATGGCCTGTTACTTCTGTGATTGGAAATATACTGATTGTACATGGTTCAGTTGTTTGTAAAATTCTTAATCGAGCGTAATGAATTCAATGCTTAATCGTCCAGGTCGTGTTTGATCCAGCACTGAGAGAAAGACACATTGGAGATCTGCAGGGCATGAAGCTTCAAGATGCTGCTACAGAGAGGCCAGAGGCATACAAAGCTTTTATGTCCCGCAAGAGAAATCAACAAATTCCTGTAAGTGTTCTTATAACCTATCGACAAGTACTATGCTTAGCATTGCTGCACACGCTAAGATGTGTTGAAGCATGCATGAGTAATGTTAAGGACTTTCTGAAGCATAGGTGAAGAAACGATATGCATTAAATGGCTCATGGTCAACTATTATGTTGGTATCAACAATTCAAACTGGAATATACAGTGATTTTGCACATCCAAATTATGTGTGCCAAGTATAATATTCTACTAGTGAAATACGATCAAGCTTACTGGGAGGAAGCTTATTGCTACATCTATAGACAACTAACTCTTACGGGCTTATGTATATCTGTAGACAACTTGAACTGATAAAAGCTCAGTACTCCAATCAACGTCTTGTTCGTTTGGACTTGTTTGGCTGATAAGCCATGGCTGAAAGTACTGTTGACTGATTTGGTGTGAGAGAAAAATATTGTTCATTGGCTGATAAGTCATGGCTTATAAGCCAAACACGACCAAGCGAACAGGCTGCAAATCAGTACTCATGTAGTTATACAGTTCCTCGGGATAGTCGAACCGTTACACGAGCAATAAAATTCTTATTGGTGGAACCTCTTTTCCCTGAGTTATTGTTATTCTGTATCTGGAAAGAACAGCTTGGTTTTTTGTCATTTTCGCATCCGATCTCCATAAAGCTTTCCTTTCACTAGATTTATTCTTAGCTGCATGCAGCAGATTCTCTTGTGCATTGTTTCCTGACTCTCTTTGACTTCGTTTCTCAGGGTGGTGGAGAGAGTCTTGATCAACTGTCGGAGCGATGTGTGTCGTGTTTGTACAACATTGTTGAGAAACACAAAGGTAAGCCGTGAGCTTTATTCCTGGACTCCTTGTGACCTGATCCTTATTACAAGTAAATTCGAGTTACTGATATTTCCATAGACATGATTTTGCTTGGGTTGTATTATTAGACATGTCAAAGAAATGTTACTTTGATGTTTACCTGCGAGCTCATGAGCCGCTGTCTACTGACAGGGGAACGAGTTATCCTGGTTTCACATGGCGGCACCATCCGAGAACTCTACAGGCACGCCAGTCCTACGAAGCCGCTCCACTGCAAAATACACAACACGTCAGTGAGTGTCATCCTCGTGTCCGATGCCACCGGTCGTTGCATCGTCAAGATGTGCGGGGACATCAGCCACCTTCAGGAGACGGGCGTCCTGGAGAATGCCTTTGGTGGCGATAAGACCTCCGCCTAAAAAATTTGCAGATTTGGGAGCATTACATGCAACATTTATCTTGCGTTCAAAAAAAATGCAACATTTATCACGTGCATAGTATAATACGCAGCATTTATCACGTGCAGAAAGTACTCGTTTCGGTCGTAGTATTTTTACTGTACCAATCAGTCCTGTTGCTATCAATAGTGGTCTAGTGGAGAATATGGTATACTTTCCCCCCGTTGGGAACGCGCGAATTTTGCCGAAACAATTGAAGGCCGAGCCGAGCCGGGGCGAATCCTTGTGGCCCGGTCGTGCAGTGCTGCACGTACGCATGTGGAGCTGAAACCATCTGCGTTTGCGCATGTTCGTCCACATCCGTGGATCATGGCCCCTGTTCTATCTATCTCGCGGCTGTTTGCGCTCAGTGGTGACGGTGCCGGATGCATGGCGTGCGATCGGGCACGGAGGCCGGACCCCGGGCAGGGAGGGCATAAGGCCGCCTAGGAAGTAGCGAGTCCCTTTCGGATGGCGGCTCCGAAAACCATTTCCAGCTAACTGAGAGCCGACGACAGATCACCCCGTCCCTTTCGTCCAAAAGAACACCATGATTGCAGTCCTGTACTGGCTAACCACTTGGAGCGTGCCACGCTGTTGTTGGCACAAATGCTCTGTGCTGCTCCTCTCTTTCACCTAAAAGGGCGGTTCGAGTACTCTGTGCTGCCTAACGGCCGGTGCAGAGAGAAGCGAGGTCAGCCAAGCATACGTATGCACGTACGTACCATGCCGATCACGTACAGGCACAGGATACAATAGTCGGATGCTGCTTAATTCCGGTGGGTAGCAAGTAACAACCATCAAGCATATCCTGCACATATAGGGATTAGCTGCATGAGTAATAAACAATCGGCGCACACATCACATGGGTCGCCGCCGCCGGCGATGCGTACAGGATCAGGATGCGACGACGACGGCACGCGAAAGCCGCGCCGCCGTCGCTCTCGGCCGCAACTCCCGCACACTGAACCCGCGGTCGGACCAGCGAGGCAGGCCCGGCCCTGAGGCGGGGCGGGAGGGACGGCCGTCCCAGGCCCAGTGAGCCAATGGGCCCTCCCCAGTATGCATACACGTCTAGTACTCAGCCCAGTATCCAGTACGGCAGAGGAATCACGCACTGACTGTTCGACTCCTTCCTTGCAAGTACGCGGCCTTCCTTCCTGCGTGTGGGTGCGGCGTGGGCGCGTGGGAGGCCGGGCGGCGTTCGCAAACGGAGATTCACACAGGGCACTAACCTCACCTCACGTGATCCCTCATCCCTATTCGGCTTCGGCAGTTCCAGCAGTCAGCAAAGCAGGCAGGCGTCAGGCGGCAGCGAGGTAGGAATCTAAAATTTAGTTACCCAGCTAGGACAGCTATGGAGATTTTTGAGGTTGTTATCCTAGTGCTTCCATTACTTATCGCATCTTGTTTACTATATCGCATCAGCTGAAACAAGCTTCTCAAAATTAAAATTGCTAAAGAACCATATGAGATCCATAATGTCACAAGAGAGGATAAATGGAATGGCAATATTATACATTGAGAAGCGATTGTGTGGATCAAATCAGTGCTCCGGGCTGTGCCGATTTACTCAATGATGGCGGACAATCTTCCTCCCTGGGCGAGAAAGGAAATCGACGCCATATGCAGGAAGTTCCTGTGGGTCGGCAAGGATGCGTCGGTACATGGGAAATGCATGGTGGCGTGGAACACTGCTCGCAGGCCGACGGAGTTAGGAGGGCTTGGAATCACCGACCTCAAACTCGTGGGCTATGCACTACAAACAAGGTGGTTGTGGCTGCAGAAGACTGACAGTTCGCGGGCAAGGAGCGAACTGCCGATCAACGCCGATCCGGAAGTGCGAGCCTTCTTCCGCGCATCCACATTCACAGCCCTAGGAAACGACATGTCTGCGCACTTCTGGGATGACCGGTGGATTCAGGGATAGGCGCCATCGGACATCGCACCCAACCTGGTGCAGCTCGTCCCCAGAAGAACCAGAGCTCGCCTCACCGTCCGCCAAGGCCTTGTCAACAGGCAATGGACGCGGAACATCACGGGCAGCCTGACACTGGTTACGATCGCTAAATACTTGGATCTTTGGGAGGCCACGGAGTACATCAGCCTCAACGATCAGCCAGACAGGACGGTGTGGCGTTGGTCACCTGATGGAAACTACAGTGCCAAGTCCGCCTACAAAATGATGCACGCGGGCTCCGTTCCATTCCGGGGGCACTCGCTAATATGGGAGACATGGGCGCCGTTGAGGGTAAAAATCTTCCTCTGGCTCACCTTCACGAGACGACATTGGACGAACGACCGGCGTGCAAGGCACGGTCTCGAAGCAAGGGAAGAGTGCTACCTCTACGATCAAGCGCCGGAGACGATAGACCACATCTTGTGTAGCTGCCCCTATTCAAGGGAGGTATGGTTCCACATTTGCCGAACTCTAGGACGTGAACTACCAGCACCGGCGCCATCAGTTCTAGCATAGCATGGTGGAGGAGAGTTCACCTGAGCCGGCACGACCATTAGAAGAAGGGCGTTGACTCGCTATTCATGACCGGTCTCATGGCAACTATGGAAAGAGAGGAACGCCTGCTGCTTCAGGATGCCACGACCACGGTGCCCGATATCCCGCGCATCATCATCAAGGCGGAGGCCGACCTGTGGATCCAAGCTGGAGCAAAGAATTTAGGGAGTTTAGCATCGGGGATAGCTCGCTACTCACCGAGATCTCAATGTAACCAACCGTCTGAGCCCGGCCTAGAGACGGCGCATTGTACAAAACCTCTATTCTCTCCTTAATATAATGATACGCAACGCTCTTGCGTATTCGAGAAAAAAAGACACCATCATCGATGACTTCGCATCGAGGAATGTTAGAAGACATTTTTGAGGTAATTTAATATGTATACAAATTATTTCATATGAATATTGCTTTTCCATTCAGTTAACCGTTTATTGGTAACATTTTGTATATATGTGTGTATATATACTAGCAATGAGAGTATATTATCATGTTTATATAAAAGACCCAACATTTTACTTCTGTTCTAGGTCCAATAAAACTCAGGACCGGCACTGCAGCGACGGGCATCTCACACCAAATGACCAAAAAGGCTACTAGCTCAAGCGGAGCGGCGCAAACGTGCGGCGCAGGACGGGGACACGATTCCCGGCCCGCAGCCGCGCGCACACACACACACGACGTACACAACGAGACCACCGATCGACTGGTTCTCTCCTGCTCGATCGGGCCGGGAACGCCCATAGCAATCCAGGGAGCTATGCACCGTACAGCGGCTGCTGCTGGTGGTGCTACATGAAGGACGGCGACCGGATGTCCATCTCGTGCGTCCACGCGCTCTTGTCCTGGGCGTGGACGTGCCAGTAGCTCTGCGCCACCGCGTCCGGGTCCGCGCCCGCCGTGTCACCGCCGGCGCTGCCGGCCCTGCTCCTCGGCGATCTGACCAAATGACAAGACGAGATCAGCTCGCTAGCGCCACATATATCTCATTGTCAAGTAAGAGTATGTAGTAGATTCGCAGGGCCACTGTGCGATATCTCATTGTCAAGTAAGAGTATGTAGTAGATTCGCAGGGCCACTGTGCGCGCGGGGGTCGATCTGTGAGGAGTGAAGTGACTGTGGGTTGCATTGCTTGGTCACCTAGCTAGCTAGCTAGCTAGCTAGCTAGCTAGGCGGCTGCTTCTGCTACGTGGATACTGGGTCGTGGAGTACTTTCTATACTCGAGGAATGTCTACGAGTGACATTGATATTTCTCTTTTCTATCATGTGCGTGGACCGCGAGTGTCAACAGCTAGCAACAAGTGGATCGAGTTCGCGTGGAAAGAAAGCCTGAAATTCACACGCCGTTCTCGACCTGGTCGATCCCTCGGCGCTCCACGGCGGCACCACGCGTCCTCCTGCCCCAAAAGCGGGCGTGCACGCGGCACCCGCGGCGCGGGGGCCGGCATAAAAATCGGCACGCCTTTTTCCGGCAGGAACGCGGCAGCATATACCGCGGGCGAACGTGTCAAGCGAGCGAGCTCGCCGGGGCGCGCGGGGGCAAAAGGCTCGCCGGGGCGGGCGAACGTGCCGGCCGACGGCCGAGCCATGTGCCGGGGTCTCCGAGCAGGCTGGAGGGTGCGAAAAGCACGTCCAGCCAGATTCTCTCGCGACAAGTTGACAGTCTTTTGTACGGTTGCATATAACATGAGCAGGAAGGAAGTTCCCCGTAGTCGTAGAATAAAGATGGGAGATCTATGGGATGTTCGCTTCAGCAAGAAGCCGCTGCCGATTCTATTATGGCAGTTTAATCTACAGTAGCTCTAAAAGAACAGGGAGATCTATATATCTAGCTGCGTATATGTTCTTTTTCTAATAAAACTATATATACGTTCGTTGTTACGTCGCAAAAAAAAAAACATACGTTGTTAAAATAACTGAACTGAACTGAACTAATTTGGAGCTGCAGTCGTGCGGTTCACAGCGGCTATATCTGGACACTGTTGATGTTGCCGCTGCAGTCGCTCGGTTCACAGCGGCTACCTGGTCGTTGTTGGAGTTGCCGATGCAGTCATTCGGTGACCACAACGGCTACTTGGTCGCTGTTGTCGCTGTTATCTGGGTTCTTTCGACGATTGATCACAGCGGCTACCTGGTCACTGTTGTCGCCGTTATCTTGGTTCTTCTGGTGGATGCATTGCCACCGCGGCTTCGTTTTCTGAGTGGGCAGCCTTTGCGTTGAATTTTTTTTCCTGCAGGTTCAGTCGGTTAGGTTTATGGTGAAGGGTTCTCTCCCTTTTGCCTTTCTTGTTGTTTTCTTGCTTTTTCTGGTATCGGGTGCTTGGGGTCTTAGTAATCTTGGGATTACTGGGACGCATGTTGTTGTAATTGTTTAACTACCTCTACTTTCTCTTAATAAAAAACGGGTTATATGTCCGATCGAGAAAAAAAGAAAGAAATTAATGGCTTGATTTATTTTGGGAGGGTGAATACATAGGTAGAACTGACTCAAATATCTTATTTTACAAGTGTCCAAGGTTGGGAGTATGTTGAGGTACAGAAGTCGTATATATCCGCGCCACCGTTTGGGAATGGATTCTTGCATATTAAGGTCCTTTTTGTTGCCTTTCCTGAAAATGGCCTCTGGGCGGATCAGATCTACACGTTGGGATACCGCTGGACCACCCTGACTAGGGAGGCAGCGAGAGGGAATTCATTCACAATCGCAGCTGAGCTCTCCAACTCCCAAATGTGGCCTCTCTTTCTCTTCCTACTCATTGTCTCTCACACACACAGCAGTGACAAGAACATTATTCCCCGCCTACCAGCTGGCATCTCCCGAGCCAGATTATGTATGAACTCCGATCCCTAATCTGAATCTGACATATACGCAAATTCGGTCGCAAAAGCACGCGCTGAGGGAGCCGCCACCCGCCGCTAGGGCGAACTGGTGGATGGATCAACATATAGGATCAGACGGAGGAACTTGATGCTTAATTCTTTTGAACATTAAAAAAAGGGCCGGGAACCGGCCGGCCGATACTATGCGCGCGCATCGAATAGACGATGGATTGTTGTTAATCAATCAATATAGCCGAGTTCTGAGTGGACTGACCTCCTCTCGCCGATGACGCCGTCGATGATCACATGCGCAATGTGCACGCCGGCCGGCTGGAACTCCCTGGCCAGCGACTGGGACAACCCCGGAGGGCAAACTTGCCGCAGCCTGCACACGCACGCATGCGTGTCAAGAATCGCTTAGCTACAGAAGCAGTAGAGTAGGTTTGCCAGACGAAAGGCCCCGGCCGGCCGGCCGCCCACTTACTTAGATCGGAGTAGCCGGCGAAGCCGGTGACCGACGCCGAGGAGCCCGTGAAGATGATGGTGCCCTGCCCCTCTCCACCATGCCCGGGATGACCTGCGATATATATGGATGTTGCATGGATCATAATCTCAGAGGAGTCGCGTGATAATTCGCTGTACAGTGCCCGTGCGGCGTGTAATACCGTACCTGTTGTGCGCAGTGGAAGGCCCCTCCGGCGGAGACGGCCAGAGCGCGGTGGAAAGCATCGGGGTGACGGCGAGGAAGGGCGTGAGGGCGCGCGGCCGCGGCGTCGTCGTCGTTGTCCGGCGGCGGCTCGCAGGCGTTGTAGACGAGCACCTCGACGGGGCCGAGGGAGAGGACGCCCTCGAAGGCCTCGCGCACGGAGCGGGCGTCGGCGCAGTCCACCCGGAGCGCGAACACCTGCGCCTTGGCCTCCTGCGCGATCTCCTCCGCCAGCTGCGACAGCTTCTCTGCACGCACGCGCACGGCGCAAGGACTCAGCTTCTCCGATCGAAATAAAGAAGAGGGAAGAGATGCATGGGAGGAAGGAGGAGCGAGGGGATAGATGGACGTGCCGAGGTCGCGGGAGAGGATGGCGATGGTGTAGCCCTCGGAGGCGAACTTGCGCGCCACCGCCGAGCCGAGCCGGGGCCCGACGCCGACCACGGCGGCGATGCCCCTCGAGGAGTTGGAGCCGGACACTGACCTCAGCATATGGCGCGCGCGAGGGAGAAAAGAGAAAGAGAGAAGGAGGGAGGCGCGACTTGGCGAGAGCTCCTACTTGCTACTTGGCGAGACGACAGCAAGCAGCTCCCGGCACTCGGCTCCTCCTGTGTGCGAGTGTGTCCAGTTTTGAACGACTGCGAGTCGTTGGTTTGAAGACCGGATGGAGAAGGCGGCTGTCTGGTCTGTCCCCTCCCTCGGTTTCTCCGTTGCTTTTAAGTTTTAACGGCCGCGCGCGCCGGAGCAGTGGAATCACCTCAAAAATGGCGTTTTCGCGTCGTCGGATAAAGCAGGGAAGCAGAGAATCTGCAAGCCCGCTGGCTGGCCTCCTCTTCGGCATCCCTGTTCATGGTTGATAGTGGTTTTTTGCGAGAGAAAAACACTGAGCGATCTCGTGCACAGTGCTGCTAGCTGCTCCCGACACCCTTTGCCAATCTGACACAACGCAGTGCCGTAACCCATCATGCTAACAACACGAGATGCACCGGCTGGTGCATGTATCATCCATCATGCCGCCGCCCTCCGTCCGCCACTTGTATCTACTAACAACACGAGATGCACCGGCTGGTGCATGTATCATCCATCATGCCGCCGCCTCATGTATCATCCATCATGCCGCCGCCTCCGCCACTTGTATCTACTAACAACACGAGATGCACCGGCTGGTGCATGTATCATCCATCATGCCGCCGCCTCCGCCACTTGTATCTAGTAGCGAACAGCCAGCTCATTGGACCGCTACGAGTCTTTGTGCGGTCCTCCACCATGTCTAGCTTCTTTGGAGCACGACGTCACATCAATACAGCCTTTACACAGGGAATTCGGGGTGTACTCTAAAATTAATGTCACAGCGAATGTTTGAGATCTACTAAAAAGAATAAATATAGATTAATTACAAAACCAATTACATGTAGATAGAGAAATTTAATTTGCGGAGGCGATTTTTAAGCCTAATCAATATGTCATTAGCACATGTTTACTGTAGCACCACGTTGTCAAATCATGGACTAATTAGGCTTAAAAGATTCGTCTCGTAAATTAGTCGCAAGTTGTGTAATTAGTTTCGTAATTAGTCTATATTTAATACCCCATGCATGTGTCTAAATATTCGATGTGACATGAATTTTAGGAACGTATTTAGAAACCAAACAGAGCCTATGCAAAATGCGACGACGCTGCTAGCTGGTTTGTGCCACGGAAAATATGTTCTGTTTGATCCATGAATAATAACGGGCGCATGTTCTTGTGACGGCACTGGAACTATCTCAGCTTCGTGTCGGGAAGTGCTTTTCAAAAAACACTGATTCACGGTGGCGAGATAGTCCGAGTATTTTGGTTCAAGAAAAAGATCTTCTAATGTATATTGAAAAAATTCCCGAACCCTTGCCCCACCCATACATCCGAACTCCTGCCCTACCTATACACAGCGACACCATAGCTCCGTGATGGCCACAGACCTGTGCTTTGGGTCACTACAAGAGCTTAGGCCTTCTATGACTAACTGATTGTGACAATTACATTTTTTTTCTTGTCATTGTACCTCTTCTATGACACAGCAATGACAATATGGCTGTGGTCATAGAAGGTGGGTCATAATCCCCTTTCTGTGACTAACAGACCCAATTGTCATTATCTTAGTGACAATTGCATGTATTGTCACCAGGTTATGACCACGGTATTTGTCACTATATTTGTCATAATATATTAGACGGGATGATAACAAGTGTCCAGAGATCTGATGTGGCGTATGACGTGGCACAGGTAGTATGACGAAAATAATTGTCATAAAAATAAATTTGGTCCAGTTGACCCATGGGCTGGTTTTTACAATTATAATTCAACTTAACCCAACTGGCCCATGTGCTGGCCGGCCATTTTTTGGCCCAATTGTTGTCAGCCTTTTTAGTTTTTTTGCCGTACTGGCCCAGTAGCATTCTAGCCCAGTTTGCATATGATATTACGGCCCAAGCCCATATATTAAACCACATACAATTTAATAACAATAATAATTAGACATCCATACATATCATTTAATCCATAATTGATTGTTCATTACAACAGTTATAACCATTCACCAGCCATACAAATGAATTACATCATCAAAATACACAACAGATCACCAACAGTTCACCCACAGGTTCACTTGCCCTTCTTGTGGTGCTTGAGCAGCGATGGCCTCCATTTCAGCCTAGCATGAAAAAAAAAACAAGTCACGATTCTCGCATTCCAATTTTTATCCATCACAGTACAAAAAGACAGAAAGATGTACTCACAATAGCTTTTTGTGCATCCTCACTATAACATGTCTTGCTGATGCAATATGTGTGGCCTTGAAGAAGTCAATCGCAGTGGGTCGGTCATCCTTAAATTTAGACTTCTAGACATGTAAACAACAGTTTAAACATTTGAAAAAGAAAGTTAACATCAGTTGAAACAATAATTTAACAGCAATGTGTGTCCTTGCTATCAGTCAGTACTTCACTACTGGTAATAATTAGCTAGTTGAGGCACAATGCATTTATTTATTAGTTCTGCAGATAATTGACAACCATATGTACGATTTTAATTGATACAACTCTGCAGATAATTCGCTAGTAACTTGCATAGACAAAATGACAACTTGCACAGATAAAATTACACTTGCACATATGGCCACAAATATGTTCTTTATAATTTGACAGCCTGATTAATTTGACAACTAAATTTTATTATGTAGTAACTCAGACTTTTGAGCACAACTAACGATCAGAGTCCCCAAGGATACATGCCAGGCTGCCCACTTGAAATTGAAATGGCAAAATTTTCTACCGACCATACACACCCTTGACTGAAGCTACGTACAACAAGACCTCGACAAGAATGGTATAGCAGTAACAGTAGGAAGGAACAAGGAACACAGTAATTTGGGCTAATTTGGGAGATGAAGTGGAGGGAATATACCCATGTCATCCTCAGTGCTGGACAACGACTGCCTGGTAACCGAACCATAACTGCACAGGAGCTTGGACAACAACTACTCCAGATGCTTCTCCATGATCTCCACGCAACTTCTAACAGAGCAGACACGAGAAATCCATCCCCATCAGAACCACGGTTATTTTCATAAGGCAACACTGCCAACATAAACGAATGTGGCAATTGCCGCAGACGCACGAGCGCAGTCAGAAGGTACCTCTTGGCGAAGCGGCGCTCCTGCAGCGACAGGCGGCTGAGGAGGTCGTCGGACCTGGAGATATGCATCGTGTACTTCTCCATCAGCAACAGCCACACCACCAGATCGTCGATGCCAGTCGCCACTGTCGGCGAAGTCGTCGAGCGTCTCCTCCTGTAAACGACACGTGGAGAGGGAACACCGGTCAGATCCAGAGCCGCAAGTAACCCGAGCGCTCGCGGCGAAGAGATCGAGGCAGGAGGAGGTGGAGCGGAGGAACGCGATCGAGAAGACGGATAAGGACAAGCGTACATGGAGCTGGATCTGCTCGTGGGTGCGCGACTCGAGGGGCGAGTCGAAGCGGAGGATCTCCGGCGCAGCCTTCTCGTTGCACCAGGCCCGATTAAGCAGCTCGACGTCCATGTCCGCTGCCGCCGCCGCCGAGTCGTTGTCGCCCGCCTGCTCTCTCTCTCTCTCCTTGCGGCGGCCGCGCGTCTGGAAGGGAAGGGAAGGGAGTTAGGGTTTGGGGAGGCCGGCCGTGGAGCTGGTTTTCTTTCGAGTGGCACCAAATTCAGCCGTTGGATTCAGATCAAGGGCTCTGATCATCCACAGCCTTAACAGGCCTGCTGGTGTCAGTGGCCCAAAAGCGAAAGTGAGGCCCAAGCCTAGGTTGAGAGTCTGAAAAACCCACACGGGTTGCTAAGCAGGCCGAAAGGGCCTTTAGGGCCACACAGTTTCTTTTCCTTAGGCTGAATTAAGTCACAAATTAAGTTTTGTTTAATTTTGAAGTGCTTATAATTTTCTGTTTACTTAAGTTCATTTTAAGCCCAATATTTTTTAAGGCGTCTCCAAATTTAAGTTTGTAATTTTTTAGGCATTTATTTTTAGTACTTGTAATCTCCCTATTTAGCGCAATTAGGCTCTTTGTTGGGCCATGTTTAATCTCTAATTTAGCATAAAATAAATATAGTAATGACCAAAATTGATCAGAAATCTAAGATTTTATGTGGGGCCATACTTTGGGTATGCATGCTTGCAAAAACAATTTCAAGCCATTTTGACAGAATCGGAATATACATTGTTCATGAAATGGAAACATCTATCACATAGTCATATAACTATGTTTGAAATGTATTCATTTTGTGAAGGATGTGCAATACCGTTTTGAGATGTATCCATTTCTAAAGGATGTTGAGTATCGCCTTTTGAAATCAGTTGAAATTTTTATGCAATGATTATACACCAAAATTGTGTTGTCATGAAAGTTTTTAGATTTTTCTAACCAAGTTTAAATATTATTACATTTATTCTATGGTAGTTCAATGAATAATTGTAATAATAACTGAATTTGGTCAGATAATTCTACAAATTAACACAACAACATAATTTGGGTCTATAAGCATTCCATAAAAAATTCAAGCAATTTCAATAAGGTGGGATTATACATCCTTCACAAATACAAACATCTCTCACTAAGTCATATAACTATGTCAGAGATGTATACATTTGTGAACGATGTGCAGTACCGCTTTGTTACAATGATTTGAAATTTTTATGCAATGATTATACACCAAAATTATGTTGTCATGCAAGTTTGTAGATTTTCTTAACCAAGTTTAGATATTATTACATTTGAATTTCAATATATTAGAACTTTAGACATAAATAAATTCAAATAAAAAAATCATCAACTACAAAGTTTTAGACCTGATCGAGGTCTACAACTTTCGTTTTGGTCGTTTCTTCATTCAAGCTTGTTTGACTAACTCTTCCGCAGTTGACCGACGGCGTTGACTTGACCGTTGATCGAAACTTGGACGGCTATCCACTGTTCCGAGGCGCGACTGGGTCCGTCAATGCTGTTCTTGATTTTATAAAAGTATACAAATATATGAATGGTTAACTAATACAACTGGATGGATACCGAAGTATACAAATATGAATGAACAATGTTACTTAGTCTGGAAGTATACTAAAATAATATTGAAAAATTAAATAACCAAGCTTACTTAGCTCTAGATATTAACAAAAATGAATGCTAATATGCACTACGGATTTGGAGAGGCGAGTGCTAGCCGACCTTCAGCAGATAAATTTCAATATAAAAAGGAAACTGCAGCAACTATAACACAAATGCCTTTGCGGTTCATATATCTTTGTCTCCTGGTGTGCAGCCTCCCAGGTTCGAGCCCCCTTCAATGCACAATTTTTTTTGTTAATAATTCCTGCTACTGATGGGCTGGGAGGGAGCACGTGCTGGGCTAGGCCGGGAGCGCTTGCTGCGCTGGGCCGAGCGAGGATGCTGGTGCTGCCGACTTAGCTACTAAATTTCAATGGTCATGGCTGCTTCTCCTAGTACGTGTGCTCATAGGTTCGAAACCTCATTACCCTCAATTATTTTGCCCAAATTTCTGGCCCATACAGAGCGAGCCTGTGTGCGCGAGAGGGAGTCCGGGGTCCTATGTGCGTGCGTGGGTTGGATGGCATGTGTCTGTTTTTAATTTGTTTTCTTTTTTATTTTCTTTTCTTTCAGGTTACAGGTTCACACCCACGGCTGCATGTTTTATTTTCTTGCTGCAGTGATTAGGCATAAATAAAATAAAGCGCCACATTTAACAACACGGGCATGAAATAAAGATAACATGGGTGAAATATGTTAGGAAAAACAACGAAAATAGAAAAGTATATGGACCCACCTGTGATCACGTGGTTGTGGAACATGCCAACAAGGACAACAATGTTTAAACAAATCAATAAATTAATTTGTGATGCACAAACTCCACCATAGATTGATGAAATATGTAAATTAGCCTTTCACTATTTTTTTTCTTATCTGCTGGCTGATCTTTAAAAAACCATAACTTTTGTATATAAACTCGAATGAAGATAAAATTTATATATAAATTGTGTAGAAAAAAGAGATGTACAACTTTGTAGGTTATGAATTTTTCATTTGACATTGTTACGGTATGTAAAAAATGATATAGTGCTCAGATCTATATTTGTTGGTCCCTAAATTTTAACATTATATTAAATTTTAGGTATCGAAATGATCTCAAATGGAAAGGTTGTCAACTACAAAGTTGTAGGTCTCATCACGGTCTACAACTTTTGTTTTGGTCATTTCTCCATCCGAGTTCATTTGAACAGTTTAAAAATATTTGAATTGCAAAATATTTGAATTGTAGGATTAGGTTTTTTAATTAATGACGATTACTTTCGATCACTTTCGTCATGAGCTATTGTCACAAAGATTGGGAAGTGCACATGGTGATGGTTGTTTATGACCAAAGCACAACTTTGTCACAAACGCTTGTCATCTATTGAAAAATTGTCATAAACGCATCGTTTCTATGACTAAAAAGTGCTTTGTCATATCAAAATTGTCATAGAAGGCCCAATCTCTTGTAGTGGATGTGGGGCAGACGAGTGAGTTTTCCCCCCTGGTCGTTGCGACCGAAGCCACAAATAAAGACGGAGTCCCATGTAACTCGAGCTCTGACCACCCTAAGGGGGAGGTATTGAGCCTGCACTGACCACTCGGTCAGCCAGGCCGTTCCTGTCGGGATGTGCTTTTCAGAGTTGTTCCTAGTGCTGCACATCGGTCCTGGCCCATTTGGCAATCTAAAGTGGCATAGGTGCGTAGGTGCCACCGTCCCACGAGATTAAGAGACAATGTATAGGGCCAAAACCCGTAGTACTTCATTGTGGCTACCATTGGTGAAGCTAGAGCAAATTAGAGGATGGTTGAAAGGTCCTAATGGCTAGAGGAAGGAGTGAATAGCCTATTAAAAATTTCTACAACAACACTTAATAAATTGGTTAGACAAATATGAGGCGAAGTGAATATTGCGCTAGCCTACTAAAAATGCAAGCCACCTATCACAATTCTAGTGACTATGATCTCTAAGCACACAAAGGCTATGTCACTAAACTAAGTTAGAGTGCTCTAAAAAACTAACTAAAGAGCCACACTAACTACTAGACTCAACACAAGCTTGTTCTCAAAACTAATTACACTAAAGAGTGAAGCAACACTAGAAATGTAAATACAAGAGAGAGGATGTGAGAATTATACCGCCGTGTCGAGGATAGAGCCAATCACAATATAATGGAGTCAATCAATCGTAATCAATCAAGAAATCCTCGAAACAAGGTGACACAAGATTTTTTTATCGAGGTTCACTTGTTTGCCGGCAAGCTAGTCCTCGTTGTGGCGATTCACTCACTTGGATATTCACGCGCTAATTGGCATCACACGCCAAACCCTCAATAGGGTGCCGCACAATCAACACAAGATGAGGATCACACAAGCCATGAGCAATTCACTAGAGTACATTTTGGCTCTCCGCTGGGGAAAGGTCAAGAACCCTTCACAATCACCACAATCGGAGTCGGAGACAAGCACCTTCCTCCGCTCGACGATCTTCGCTGCACCAAGCCGACTAGGTGGCGGCAACCACCAAGAGTAACAAGCGAATCCTACAGCGAAACACAGACACAAAGTGCCTCTAGATGCAATCACTCAAGCAATGTACTTGAATTTACTCCCAATCTCACAAAGATGATGAATGAATGATAGAGATGAGTGGGAGGGCTTTGGCTAAACTCATAAGGTTGCTATGTCAATGCAAATGGCCAAGTAGGTGAGCTTGAGTCGGCCATGGGGCTTAAATAGAAGCCCCCACGAAATAGAACCATTGAACTCTCACTGCAGCCAACTGCATGGTGACCGGATGTGCCGGTCAGATCGACCGGACGCACGCCACCAGCGTTCGGACGCCCGATTGCTGCCATGTGTCATCAAACGTTTAACCTCAACCATTGATTTCCAACGGCTATCTTCCAACACCTGTGCAGTGAAGTCAAGACCGGACGCGACCGTCACATGACGGACGCTCCCATCAGCAGCAGAGCTCGCGCACGAGAGCCACGACCAAGGCACGACCAAACATGCCGTTTTCCTCGGCTTCTCGGCGTCAAGTCATTTACAGATAGGTTCTAGAGGTGATTTCTTGTGACCGGACGCATCAGATGCTCACGACTGGACGCACCATCACGTTAGGTCCACTCCTCGCTCACACAGACACTTACATTAGCGTACGTTAAAATCAACTGGACACGACCACTGCACGTCAGGTCACCACTTTGTGCTAGTGTCCGGTCACACGGCCGAGACCGCACCTTCACTGCTAAGCATGACCGGGCACGTAGGTCTAGCCGAGGCCTATTTCTGGTCACTGTTTCACAGTGACAAACACCTCCTTTACTTCACCAACTTCTCCACCCTTGCTCAAATTTGCCAACCACCAAGTGTATCACCTTGTGCACGTGTGTTAGCATATTTTCTCAAACATTTTCAAGGGTGTTAGCACTCACTAGAATCTAAATGCATGTGCAATGAGTTAGAGCATCTAGTGGCA